AGAAACATTAGTTTTTTGTACCCCACCTCACTAATTCTCATGGGAGTGCGAAATGTGTATATGCGTGTACGTGTCTGTGTGTCTGTCTGTGTGTGTGTTTGTGTTTGCGAGCAGGTACCAAGCCCGTCAACTCATCAGCGTGCTAAGAGCTTTTACCCTCCTCAACGAGTACGTTCCGGACATGTACGACGCCGCGTGTGCCGTACTCACTTCCCGCCTGCGCGGCCTGGCGGGCCAGTCCGTCGCCGCGCTGGCGGCGGCGCCACCGTCGGCTGAGTTCGTACTGACGCCTCAGCACTATGCGGATGCTGCTTGGGCGGTAGCCATGTCGGGTCATGCGCCACGGGTTCCGGAGCTGATGGGGCTACTGGCGGAGAGGTGCGTGTACGGCGTGTGTATGTACGGCATGTCTGTGTGTGTGCATTGGAGAAGGCCGTGCGCGCACAGAGCTATGGAGGAGGTGGAGGGGTGGGGGTTGGAGGGGAGGGGAGAATGCAGGAAGCCGTATCAGCAGCAACAGCATCCGCCCCACGTGCCCCTCTTTCCTCCAAAACGACTTCACCGCCCCACGCGCCCGGTCCCCTTCACACGCACATATATGTATGTAATGTAACATATATACATACATACACATACACATACACAGGATTGTCGAGGTGGCCCCTCAACTCGGTAAGGCGTCGCTGGTTCGCGCCGTCCAGGCGTATGCGGTGGCGGGGGGCACTGACAGCCCCGGTCTCATGGAAGCACTAGCGCAGGTGCGTTCGGGTGGGGTGGGGCGTGTGTGGGTTTCGATAAATCGCTGATGATGCGCTACTACTTGATACACGGGAAGACCAAAGTGCCCAAGTGGGTGCACGAATAATAATAATAATAATAATAATAATAATAATAATAATAATAATAATAATAATAATAATAATAATAATAATAATAATAATAATAATAATAATAATAACTCTGGTGCCGATGTGAGCTCCGTAGTCCCCAGTGACGTGTAATCAGCCTTTTCCGTAAAATACTGCTAATAGCTAATATGACGTAGCGGGAATGTTTTTTTTGTGTGTGCGTGTGTGTGTGTGTTTTGGGTTGGGGGAGCTGATGGTTTTGGAGTCTTAGGACAAGCAGCCAAAAGGAAATTTTTTAAAGCGAAGCAAGTACTTCGGCACGACCCGGACTCGCCGAACCCAGGCGGCCCCTTTCCCGGCGGCAACCCCCCCAACCCCCTAACCCAAACCCAAACCCAAACCCAAACCCCAATCCCCGAAGGAGGGAAAGGGAGAAGCCGAAGGGGAGGAGGAGTACACAACCACCAACCAACAGCCAACAGCTAACTGAGCTCTGAATATTTGTTCTGTTTGAAGGCGCCGCGTTTGATGGTTTTGTGATGGACACAGGAGGGTGTATGCGCCCGTGCAGGGCAGGGCAGGGCAGGGCAGGGCAGGGCAGGGCAGGGCAGGGCAGGGCAGGGCAGGGCAGGGCAGGGCAGGGCAGGGCAGGGCAGGGCAGGGCAGGGCAGGGCAGGGCAGGGCAGGGCAGGGCAGGGCAGGGCAGGGCAGGGCAGGGCAGGGCAGGGCAGGGCAGGGCAGGGCAGGGCAGGGCAGGGCAGGGCAGGGCAGGGCAGGGCAGGGCAGGGCAGGGCAGGGCAGGGCAGGGCAGGGCAGGGCAGGGCGGGAGAGACACAACACGTAGAGACTTGTGGAAGATCGATCGCGGACAGCGGGTATTTCCTTTCCTTTATTTTCTTTAACCATCCCCCGCCATCCCACCTCGCGCTTACCAGGTCGTCTATCAGTCAGGTATCTGCCCTTCACTCGCCTGTGGTTCGTCTTAACCCCCCTCTCCCGCCTTGCCCCCTATTTCTCTCTCCCCCTCCCCCTCCCCCTCTTTCTCTCTCCCCCTCCCCCTCCCCCTCTTTCTCTCTCCCCCCCCGCGTCAGGCCTCCCGGCCGCTGCTGGTGGACCTGGGCCCCGACTACCTGTCCACCCTCGTGGGCGCCTTCGCGGAGGGGCCCCACCCGGTGACTGAGGACTTCTGGACGGTGTGTGGCGGGGGAAGGGGGATTGGGGGTTGGGGGTTGGGGGGGGAGGTGTGTGTGTATGTGTGTGTGTGTGTCTGTGTGTGTGTTGGAGGGGCCTTCCACACCGGAGGGACTGCTATGTACGGCGGGTACGGATGTATGTGCGTGCCACGATTCCGGAATTGGGTATTCCGGACTCCGAGCTGTTTGCTCTCCCACCTCCAAATCAACATGTCCAGCAGCAAAACTAGCATGTAATAAATTACAGACTACGCCGCATGCAGATAAAGCCAATAAGAAACATCCATTTTACATTTACCCACGTGCCGGACTACGTCCGTACACCTGCATGCCGTACACCTCCATGCCGTACAGGCGTGCATGGATGCTGTGGGGCTCAAGGTGCCCCACCTGGAGCGGCCCCGTCGGGACATGCAGCTGGCCACCTGGCGGCTGAGTGAGGCCTTCCGCCGCCACCCCGCCACCCAGCAGTACGCGGCGTGCCGAGACCACTACGTACTGCCGTTGCTGGGGGCATTAATGGATAGCCAACAGCAAATGCTAGCACAGCAGTAGCAGCTATTGCAGCTGCTGTGTATGTGGGGGGGTGTAGGGGGGGGGTTGTAGGGCAGCTGGGCCTTTGGTTGCAGTGTGGGGTTGAGGAGGTGGGTGAGGAAGGGGTTTTGTCGGCTGTGGGGTTGAGGAGGTGGGTGAGGAAGGGGTTTTGTCGGCTGTGGGGTTGAGGAGGTGGGTGAGGAAGGGGTTTTGTCGGCTGTGGGGTTGAGGAGGTGGGTGAGGAAGGGGTTTTGTCGGCTGTGGGGTTGAGGAGGTGGGTGAGGAAGGGGTTTTGTCGGCTGTGGGGTTGAGGAGGTGGGTGAGGAAGGGGTTTTGTCGGCTGTGGGGGTGAGGAGGGCGTTGCATGTGTCGGGTGATGGGTTTATCGCCGGGGGGGAGCATAGTTAGTGATGGGGGAATCGGGGGGGGTTCTCAAACAGAGGTCGGCGTGAAGGCGTGTTTATGTTATGATGTGGGTCATGAGCCCGTGTTTGTCGTGCGGGATGAAAAGAAGTTTGGGGTATAGTTAGGAGTTGGGAAGCTGGGGTAGGTCTGGTAGAGGAAGTCAGGGGCCGCCGCGAGAGGCAGGAGCGCGGGGAGGTCGTGGTGTGTGTGTACGTGTACGTGTACGTGCACGTTGAGCGCATGTGAGTGTTACAGACGGACAAAGAGACAAAACAAGCAGACATTACGGATTCCCTTTTCATAAACAAAGGCTCCATAGTGAAGCCGGGGTACATAGACGGGTCGATATGTCCGGTAGTGACAACCCCGATCCCGGTGTGTAATGAAAACTGCTGGACGGCCTCCTCCTCCACTTCCTCCCCCGCCTCTTCCTCGTGATCCCACGCCTCCTCCGACCTATCGGCCCCACTCGGGGACGGCAAACAGCGCTGTGCACGGACATAAGTAGCTGATTTGGAAGTTGCTTTGGTTTTCCAACACACCATCACCACCACCCGCTGGAACCCTGACGCCCGCGGCGGCCTGTCAGCTCTTCTTGACACAGATTTGTATTCTATATAATATGAAGTTATAATAATAATTTCATCCACTTAGCGAGGTTGCCCGAGTGGTCGAAGGGGTGAGCCTTAAGATCTCATGGTCGTACGACTGCGTGGGTTCGAACCCCACACCTCGCATTCCGTATAGGGCAAAGTTATTAATAGTTTCTAACCCGCTCATCCTATAAATGTGTTGGCATAGCATGTTCTTCGTTATTTGGGATTTAGGATACACGGAGGCGGTTCTACTGTAGAAGAGGCGGCGATGCGAGGGCTGTCAGCCGATGAAATTTTGAATGTATAGATAGGGACTATGTGAAAGCAAGAGGACCGGGTGCGGTCCCTTCGCGCAGCCGCAGAGCGCGGGGCCAGTCCAGGACGCCCTTCACACTCCCTACGGGACTGGCGCCGCACAGGACTAGCCGCCAGCGGGACGGTGCCTATGTGAAGGGAGATTGGCGATGGCGGATGCACCAGCGGTGTACGGCAGCAGCGACGGTGCTATCGACATGACCCGTCCGAGCAAGTCATGGATGCCCGGCGGCAACGTCGCTGCTGCTGCTAAACCTGACAGTCCGTGGCCACAACGTTTTCCTTACCCGAGGATTCATGCGCGTCAGGCATTCATGCGTTGGGCGGGATATTCCGGGACCATGCGTGGGTTAGTTCTTTCAGGGACCTTGCGCTGTCGGGCTGGGAATACTTTAGGAGAGGATGGGAGCGGGGAGGGATGGGGGGAGGTACATGGCCCTGCTGTACGACAGTAACCTCCACAGTCACCGAGGTCGGTGACGGCAGCGGGGAGGCAGGATGGTCGTGGCGACCATCGGCATGGCGGCGGTTACGATGGAACCGTCCGAAGAAGAGGTTCAAGAGAGACTTAAAAGATAGAACGCTTTGGGATTCGAGTAAGGGGGGAAGGAGGAGGAAGAGGAGGAGGAGGAAGAGGAGGAGGAAGAGGAGGAGGAAGAGGAGAAGGAAGAGGAGAAGGAAGAGGAGACGGAAGAAGAGGAGGAAGAGGAGGAAGAGGAGGATGAGGAGGAAGGCACTAGGCAGCTCTGGGACAATACCTACTTCATAAGAGAGGAACGGAAAGATGTGAAGTCCTGGGGAGCTGGTCTAGCTGCACATGGGTCATCATGGTCCCCCTTTCGGCGACTGTGTAATGTAATAGAAACGCGGGGCTTCACGCTGTCATGGACTTATAAAGATGGTGACGCGAAATGGCAGCCTGGGTCCATTTTGATCGACTATAGATGTGTTGCGCATAGGACGCTTGGCGACATGCCCCGCCACGGTCAGCGCTCGAGAAAGGAGCTCCAGCCTTAATAGAATGTGAAGCTCCATTGGGGCCTTACCAAGGCACAGATTTGCAGATTTGCGCATACATTGGCTTTAAGGTGAACGCAGGCGAACTTGCCATGGAAAGGTGCGTTAATGGACGGTTGGGGACGGAGGTGTAACGGCTGGCGGGCGGAAGGGACGGACATCTGCCAGTATGACCATTGCCAACTTAGATAAGCTTGGCTCCCATCAGAGGCTCACAATGGGGAATCCCAACGCACTCGACCGACGAGCCCGTTCACGCATGGGAGACGGAACCGCAGGGAGTGTGCGTTCGGCGCACGGGAGCTAACCTTCTGTGTTACTTTGCAATCACTGACAATTTGAGTTTAAGCCCTCCGCCGGGAAGAGATGGCATTCTGTTTTCCTTCAAGCTGCTGTCGAGCGGTAAGGAAACGAATAGTTGTGCATGTAAAGAGCCTGACTGACACATATAGTATGTAGTTCCCCATCATGCTTATGATAACTCATCGCGAGAGATGTTTCCATGCGTATGTCGCTCTGCCTCGGCCTAAGCCAATCTGTAATCACATACTGGATAGAGCACTTATTATATACCTAGCCGAGTACTAATTGCAAGGGATGTTACTGCTGGAGCTGCGTTGCGCGCTCGTTCGGACATCGAATTGTTTTGGATCCAGTCTTCCGCCCAGTCTTCCGCCCGCCAGTCCTTAGTTAAATGAGACATGAAATGAAATAATATAGAAATCGTAATAAAAATATATAGAATGCGTCATACGTTGATGTCTAGTTGACGAAAAATGGCCAAGGGTTTCCGCACTTGCTAGTAACCCTTCTCGGCACTTGAGCTCACTTCAAACATTTTTTCGGTGATCAACTTATTCTTTGACGTACTGCAGCATATCTGTAAACCAAAACTTCGCTGGGTTTTGTTATGATGCGTCGCGGTTTGTTACCGGCCATCGTGCTGGTCACCGTCCTGCTTGCGCTGCAAACAAGCACTGGCCATGCGGCAAGGAAGAAGAGATCACCACCACCACCACCGTTACCTCCCCCACCACCATCACCTCCGCCACCATTGACACCTGCGTCTCCGCTGTCGACCGGCTGCGCCAGGCGCAAGTGCACGTCACCCCCCCCCTCAGTGAGCTCTCCTCCGCCGCCGCCGCCTCCCAGCCCCCCTCCCCCTGGTGCCCCGCCACCTCCCTCCAGACCCCCTCCACAAAATCCTCTAACCCCTGCACTGATATTCCAGTCCCCTAATCCTCCGCCACCCAGCCCGCCGCCGCCAAGTCCCCCTCCCCCGAACCCGCCACCTCCGAGCCCGCCACCACCACCACCGCCTTCACCGCCGCCACCTGGGCCCCCGCCGCCCTCGCCGCCGCCACCAGACCCACCGCCACCGTCACCGCCGCC